TTGTAACTCACTTCCCCGCTTTTCACTCGTCCTTAGCACTCATTTCCCTTGAAATCACGAAGTTTATGTGCTGATGGTGGGTTTTTTTTTTTCTAATACTCATTAAAATAATCATAGAACTACTAGAATAAAAAGTATTCTTCGGGGCACCCCCCCCCTAAAATCACGCTCAGGTGAACCACGCTTCGGGAAACAATGGGCTGGTGTAACGTCCTCACTCTCTACCTCGAGAACTTCAGGCTCAGTCAGGAGGCCTGCTGTTTGCGGTCAGGCAGCGAGTGACAGAGCCAGGACGGGACCAGGGCTCCCGACTCCCAGCCTGGAGCCTCACCCTCTGTGTCCACCCTGATGCAGTAATCAGAGAAGCCCAGTGCTCTCAGGGCCTGCCTGCCTCCAGCCTTGGCTCTGAGCTCAAGTCCATGGCTGGGAGCAGGGATATCGGGGGCTAAGGGAGTAGCTAAGGGCTAAGGGCCACCAACTAATCACCCCCAGGGGGCTCTGAGAAGAACTTCAACAAGAGAGGGATTTAGCTGAGGGGTCAGGGTTTCCTGGGGCCCTAGGGCCCCCGATCGCACTAAGTAGGAATTCTCTGTTCAATCTATGCAACCTTAACCTGATGGGTAGGAGTTTATGCTGTAACAGTAATAACAGTGAAGTAAGAATAACCAGCACTAAGTGCTCTTTTAGGTGCTAGGATTGTTCTAGGTGTTTTATACACGTTAATAATTTATTCCTTACAGCAACCCAATGAGGTAGGTAATTACTCCCCTTCCACAGTGAGGAAACAGGCATGGCTTCAAGATCTACTCAAAGTTGCCAAGACAGTAAGGGGCAGAGTTCGCATTTGTACCCAGGCTACTGGCTCAGGGTTCACGCTTTTAAGTGCCCCACTTGCTTTACTAAATGGAGGGCTGATCTTATGGGGAGATTTCGGTCCAGCCCCTCATAATGACAGCCATCACCAGATAAGCACTTAACCACGGGCTAGACCCCAGGCCAAGGTATCACTACAGATGAGGGGATTGGCTCAGAGGGGTGGAAGGGCTGTCCGAAGACGCGGGGTCTATTCATCCCAGCTTCTAGGCTCTGAGCTCCACCCAGCCACCCACCCTGCTGGCTGCCTGGAACCTGTGGAAGTTGCCTGCACTTGGAAAGCAGAGGCTCAGGAGGAGCTAGGAGGGAAAGACTCGGCCTTCTCCTCCACACCTGCAGTCATGTCTTAAAGCCCTGCTTCCTCCTCAGCCCCCCAGGGCAAGTGGGTGGACAGTGGGAGCTGGTGAGAAGCCCGAGTCAGCTTCTGACAGTGCCTCCTGCCCCAGACGGCGGAGCCTCAGAGGCAGCTTGGGAAGAGCCAAGTCCCTGGTAGCTACGCCTGCGCCCACCTAGGGGAGGGCCTGGGTGGAGGGCCCATCAATTCCTCCCTAGCAAGGGCCCCACCCAGTAACTCTGCCAATTTGTTCTGGGGCTAAATGCTGTAGTACAGGCAAAACATGGCCTCAAGGCCTAATAGGCCTCAATAAAGAACTCAAGACTTAGGAAATGGGGAGCCCTTTATGGTTCTGAGGGAGGGAAGCAACAAGATCCCAAGAGAAATGAAGGCATGAAATGGGGAGCAGTGGTAGGGGTGGAGGAAGGGGACAGATTCCTGAACAGTTGACCCTTGAACAATAGGTGTGTGTGTGTGGGGGGGGGGGGGTTATGGGGGCCCACACCCTGCGCAGTTGAAAATCCACATATAACTTTTGACTCCCCCAAAACTTAACTACCAATAGCCTACTGTTGATTTGAAGCCTTACCGATAACACGAACAGTCGATTAACACATATTTAGCATGTTATATGTAGTATATACTGTATTCTTACAATCAAGTAAGCTAGAAAAAAGAAACTGCTATTAAGAAAATCATAAGACAGAGAAAACATATTTACAATACTGTGCTGTAAAAAAATCCACATATAGGTGAACCTGTGCAGTTCAAACTTATTCAAGAGTCAGCTCTGCTTGGCGGTCAAGTTGGTGGGACTTTTGAGTGATTGGGCACAGGAACTGCAGACAAAGGAAAGATCAAGAATTGAGTGACCTCCAGGTTTCTGGCTTGAACGATAACGGATATAAAGGTCAGTTAAAGAGCTTAATCTTGGACGTGTGTATTTTGACAGGCTTGAGGCACCCTGTGGGAGAGTCCATCTGAGAGCTGGGTAGACAACCCTGAAGCTCAAGGGTCGGGTCTGGGCTAGAGAGAGAGATTCTAGAGTTAATATCAGAAAATCACAAAGGAGAATAGACTTTCAGGAAGAGTACTTGGACATTAAACTTTAGATTGAGCCATGTAGGCTGGAAATGGAAGCCTGAGAAATGTCAATCTTTAGGAAGGAGTGAAGGGATGGTGAGAAAGGGCAAGGAGGACCAAAGATGCAAGGTCCCAGAAGCCAAGTGAAGAATTTCAGGAAGGAAGAAGGATGAGGGCATCAAATGTAGTGTGTGTGTGGGGGGGGGGGGGGGCGGAAAGATAAGAACCAAGGCTATCCTCTGGGTCTGACAATTAGAGTCATCAATGACCTTGCCTACAGAGGGCTCGGGGTGAAGGACTGAAAGGGAAGGTGGAGGGCATGGGGTCAGGTAGTAGACTCCATGGTAGTCAGAGGTGGACATGGGGCCTGTGGAAATTTCTTTGGAGGGCAGGAGGACCGGACATGTTAATAGGCTGAGAAGGACCAGGAAATAGGGTGAGGTAGAGGTCCTTGGGAGAAGGGATGGGTGGGTTGGCTTTGAACAGGAGGGACATGCTATCCCCAAGACCACAGCAAAGGCAGTAAGGTAAGTACGAAGAAAAAGTTTCAGATGGGAGTGAGGAAGTTGAGAGATCATACCTACTGGCCTTGATTTTCTTGAAGTAGCAAGGGAAGATTTTCTAGGGTAGGGAGACAGGGAAATAAAAAAAACTTTTCTCCACTAGGAAAGTTGCCTAGTGACCTCCACAAAGAGTGAGCCACAAGAAAGGACTAATGCCAAGGGATTAATGGCCCCCACAAAGGCAGGGAGGAGGTGGGGGGGGTGGTAGCCACCAGCCCTCAGGGGCCCCACTCAGTCCCTCATAGGCAGAGCTGAACTGCCCAGGGAGGAACAGAGAAGACAGGCTGGGTTGTAGATCCACACTTGGAATTTTGCTGGTGGAGTACGGTAGATGCAAGGAGACAAGGCAGAGTGGGTCTGAGTGAGAAATGCAGAGAGACCACCAGGAAGTGTTCTAGCCTCACACCGTGGGGACCAATTCTAAGACCCTAGTCCCCAGGGCCAAACCCAGTGTCTTCCCGGTGGGCCTGAGCATTGCTGAACAGCGGATCTCGTGGGTTTCATAGGAGACACAGGATTCCCGAGCACGACACTAAAATTCATGTCGTACTACGTGAGATGGGATAGAGTGTCACTTCTGATCTTTTCTGTAATTAACTGTAGGGATCATAATCCTGTTCCAGATGACTTGCAGAGCAGTAAACTCTCCCTCTGCTGGGCTCCCTGCTCTTTCATCGTTCACAGAAAGAGGAGGTACACTCTGGAAGAGTTGCCTAAGAATCAATTTTGTGTGTAAGGTGAAGCATATCTAGATGTTTGGCTACTGGCTGAATCCTTATGTAAAGTGAACAGTCATCCTAATTTTTTATACTAATTTGTTTTTACACACTTGGCTTATTTATAGTTAGTGATAGTGGCTTGCTTCATCTTAAATCCTTAAAATTACCAACAACTAGCTGGATCATCTGTAGGATTTAACCAAGACTCCGAGAAACATGGTACTCGAGGTTTCTCCCAGGCGGTGTGGTTTGGTGGGGACCCAGCAGCGTTAGACACCAATTTCTGGATTGGTTATTCTAGATAAGTTAACACACGCACCTGCCCACCTTTGAAAAGACCCAGTTTTGCCTGCCTCTTGAAATAAGAGCATCCTCTCGTAGAAGAGTTACAATGCCCCCATCCCCCGGCCTTCCAAAGTAGCGGTGGCCCCAGCAGGTGCCAAGTATGTGCCAGGAAAAGGAAGAGGGCAGAACTGGGACCCATGCTCCTTCCTCCCCGTGGCATGCGTGTCTCCTGTCAACGCCATCACAAACTTTCATGCTGGCTGAGCACATTTGCTCAGGATCCCGCAATCACTCCAGCCCCTTCTCCACTGCATCCCTTGCTTGCTTCAAGGCCAACTCCAAAGTCTCCGCTCTTCCTAGAAGCCCATTTGGGGGGCCACCCTCCCCCCCCCCCCCCCATCCCCTTTATACTAGTATTGGACTCTGAACTTGGGCAAATCTTTGCAAACTGAAATCCGGGCCTCACATTGTTCTCTTAGCTCGCACTTCACCAAGGACCCAGCAGGGGGCTCCACACAAAGCTCCTCAATACAAGTTTGCTGGCCCAACCCAAGGGCAGAAACTTTAATCAGATCCAGCTGGTCCCTCTAGGTGCACCGTTTCTGTCTGGGTCTAGGACACACCCCGCACTGCATGTTCTGGGATGGGACAGAGGGCACCGGGCCAGGCTCTGCGGGATGGCCCCTGGATGGTGCTCAGATTTGTTTCCCCCAGGCAGCTGTATTCCTTGCTGCCCCACACCTCTCTGAAGAGCCGTGGGTTTTCACTGGGGAAAACACACGAGTTTCGAAGTGAGCACTTTTTACTGGTCTGTAAGATACTGACATCAGGACTGTTCAGAGTTGAAGGGGGAATCTCCCCCAAAGAGGAAACACAGAATTTCGAGGTAATTCCCAACGGCCAGTGGATAGAGCTGGTGAGGAGCCTGTCTCCAACCCATCAAGTGAGCGGCACTCCTGGCGAGCCCTGGGGCTCTGCCCGGACCCCGTGGACCCTGCCACACCGACCAGGACTTTCCAGGCTCTGCTTCTCTCCCTGGACCTATTAAAGGACAACGTTCTCTGTCCCTTCTCTGGGACACAGCGTTTATCACATCACTTGTGAAACACTCTTAGCTCTCTAGATCTCTTGAAATCCAGGAAGTGAGAGAAAGAAGACAATTTAATGATGGCTTCCTTGATGTACAGACAACAGAAGGACAAACGTTTCTCTCCATGCACTGGTACAATGAAATTCAGAGACGAGTGGAAATCCAGGGACAGGAGCTATAGCATTTAGAGCCGCTGCTCAGCCCATGGTCACGTGGTCCCACCAACTGGCTCAGTGCAGACATGGGGAGATGGGGGGACAGCCCGGCCTCCTGAGGTGGGGGCGAGGGCCCAGGTGGCAGAGTGAGCAAGGTGCATCAGCACCACCATGCCTTGGGGAAAGAATGCGGGAGAGTGGGGGTGGGGGCAAGCGGGTGGGTGTGCCCTGAAGACACAGTGCGGCTCAGTGGCATCAGCTGCCCCATCAGAACCATCCTGAGGGCTGGAACCAGGCTGAGCGGGACTGAGGTATTGGAGCTGGGAGGAAGGTGGCCATAAGAACCACAGCAGAAAGGAGAACATGCTGACTGCCTTCCTCCCGCACACTGAGTCCTCGATGGCCCAGCTCCATCCTGCGAAGGGTAAGAACATTCCGAGATCTGGAGCTGCAAGGGTGGCCAGGGTGAAGTAAGGAGGTACAGACCGTTCCAATCCTGAGGCCACCTGAGGTGTCTCTGCTCTGCTCTGGCCACCACCCCCTCCCCTTAAGCCCAAGATGTGAGCAGGCAAACCAGAGATCAGGGACCCCATCACTCTTCCCAGATTCAATCAGCTGACTAGGACTTTCCTAAAAAGAGAGAGGAGAGGGAAAATGGCCACAGGCTTCTAAACAGAAAACCTGGGAAGGGTGGCACCGAGTGGGGGGAGGGGGCATCTGGCTCCATCCAGCCCCAGAAGCTGGCGGCCGTGGCCTCTGGTCCTTGACCCAACCTCGTCGGCCCATCTAGCTGAGCATCTTGTGCCGATCGAAGACGGTCTTCCGCTGCTCCTGCACCTGCAGCTTCCACCGCTGCTGGGCGCCTTCCACACGCTCTAGGACTGTGTTTGCTCGAGGGCCCCCAAGGGAGGCAGTGGCGGCTGCCACAGAGCGAGCATCCTGCAGTGGAAGAAAAGGGAGAGATTTGGCACTGTGAGCTGGTGGCAGGGGTTGGGGGGGGGGGGTGGTTTTGAAAGCCTGACACAGAAAAAAAAATGCCCTCAGAGCAATTCCAAAGGTTGAGCTCCCCACAGACCAGGAGGCTGGACCTCCCCAATGGCTGGGGGTGGCTTGAGGGCCTTGCCTGGTGGTCCATGGGGCCTAGCACAGCACCACAGCCCAGCTGCAGGCTTGGTGTTTGTAGAATGTGTAAGGTAGGGCCTGGGAAAGGGGGCACTCCGGGAGGAAAATGATCTGAGGCCCCAGTCACCACACAGCTATAGCTTGAGTCCTCGGCTGCATCCCACTGGCCTATTTCTTTTACTTTATTTTATTTACTTGTTTATTTTTCAGAGAGAGAGAGAGAGAGAGGGCGGTGAGAGAGGCAGAGGGAGACAGCATCTCAAGCAGGCTCCATGTGTAGCGTGGAGCCCGATGAGGGGCTCGATCCCACAATCCTGGGAGCATGACCTGAGCAGAAATCATGAGTTGGCTGCTCAACCAACGGAGCCACCAAGCGCCCCCACACTGGACTATTTCTAACCTTCAAGAGGAATACTTCTTCCTGGACTGTTCACCTCATTTGGTCAGCAGAGGCCCTGATGCCGTCTGCTGTTTGTGGATACGTATCAGTGTGCCCCGTGGCGGGTACAAGGCTGCAGGACTCCTCCGCCCTGCCAGCCACAGCCCAGGGACAGCGGGAAGGCCCAGGGCTTAGGGCCTCGCTGCCCTGACATGGCAGCATGTGTGCTCCAGTGGGGAGGACGGGCCCACCGAGGCATCTGCACGGGAGCTGCTCTGCCAGGCGCTGGACACCCAGCTTACTCCCCCTGGGAAAGAGGGGTTGCCCCTCACTCAGGGAGTCTGGCAGGGATGGGGATTTGGGAGTTGGACCCCAGCACTCCCATTCCAGAGCCTGCTCTGGCCCACTCCCCTTTGACAGGTCAGGTCAGGACGGCTCAGCTCCCCTGGGTGCCCTACTGATCCCCTTCCCCTCTGCTCTCGGAACTGCTCTGTTGTCAAAGGCAGTGGCTCCCCTAATTACCACCTCTGCCTCTGAAGCTCCGGAGCCCATGCATTTCCTGCAGGACCCCAACCTGATCTTTGGGGGGAATTAGAGCCGAGGGCCAGGCCCACACCCCTGTGGGGATTTCCTCCCTCGCTCTCCCTGCCTCTCATCTGCTGCCACACATCTCTTAAGGGATTAGCACACCTCTCTAAGCCCAGAGCCGCCCAGTAAATGCAACTTTGCTTCTAATGCCCCGAGCTGGCACGGCTTCTGTCGCTTCACAGCTGCCAGGCTGGGGAGAAGGGAGGGGTGGTTAGGCAAGGGTAGGGGAGGCACAGAGAGCTGGCAGTTGCAGAGAGGTGGCTGGCCAGGGGTGAGGCTGGGAGGTAATTCGCCATCGCCGCAGAGCTCCGAGTCACTGTCTCATGAGGAACACTGCCCTCTGGGAGCCCCAGTCCACAACCCTGAGGAAGGCCTCCTCAGCCTGGTTAGCTGAGGATCACGGTGACATCAAGGACGCAGGTGCTGTCAGCATGAGGCGGGGGGCGCATTGAGCCTGGAGTCAGGACTCCAGGGTTCTAGGCCGGGGCTCCGAGGGGCCACCTCCTCCCCGCCTCAGACCCCTAGGGCCCATCTCACAGGCCTCCCAGTGGGAGCTGGGACAGAGGGGTGGCCTCAGCCACCTAGCAGCTCTGTGCCCCTGGACAAGTGACTACCTCTCCAAGCTTCAATTTCACGAAGCCAGTCTTTTCAGACTTTTCTGACTGTACTGTCAGCAGGAATTACATTTAAAACTTTTACAAGACACTTAGTATGAGGCATTCGGATACTCTCTGCTCTGCTCCGTTTCATTTTTTAAGATGCGGGTCATGACTCAGTACGTTGATTTCGTGGCCTAACAGTTGGGATCCATACTTTGAAAAACACGGTTTAGGATGAGGAGACAGGTATGGCAAGGTTAAGGAAAACAGTATGTCCAGAGTTCTCAGTGTACCGGCCACCACGGAGTAGGAGCTCAGGAAATGTTTAGTTTCCTTCTTCCTGGACTGCGCAGCTCAGCGGTTAAGAATACTCCGGAATCAAACCAACCTGGCTGTGAGTCTTGGCTCTGACACCTATCGGAATATGACCCTGGGCCAGTCAGCTCATTCTCTGAACCCATTTCCCCATCCATAAGGTGAGGACTGCAAGAGCGGCTTCTTGATGAGGCAAAGAAAGTAAGGCCTTTAGCAGCGCCTGGCAGATAGCAAATGCTCCAATTACTCATGGCAGACCCCAGCTCTACTAGGTGGGAGAGAGGAGGAGAAAGCCGGCAGCCTGCTGCCAGAGGGAGCTGCCTTTGAAAAACCCCCATGGCCCTGTACCACCTTTCAATGCTGTTCCTTCCCCGTTCAGCTGTGCCAGCTGAGGGCTACGGGGGGCCAAGGACAGGGCTCCATGTGGCAGTATAGGTGACGTGGGCACTGAAGCCCCACTGAGGAAGCTGTTGGCCCACCAGGACCTTGCTGTTCTGGCTTCAGGGGCCACAGGGGCTTCTCTCCCCTCCCCCCTCAGGCCCCCACCTCTAATCATGTCCCTTCTGGGTCCCACAAGGAGTGCCCAGGTGCGAGCTCCAAGGTGTGGGCTGGGATACCCAGGCAGGCTTGGAGGGATGGGGCAGCTCCAGCCCTGCTTCTCCTCGACTGCTCTGCATCTCGGGAGGACGTCTTGAGGAGAGGAAGCCAGAGGAAGCCAAGAGCAGAGCATTAAGGGAACATGCTGAAATTCACCGCATTACCACAGTATCATTTGTTTTCCCTTCATGTAAAGTCTTAACAAACAGCTCCTAAGTGGGGGAAAGCTGCTGCTGAGAGCCTCCGTGTTTCCATTGCTAATAGTCTGATTAAAAGGTATTAAAGACTCCACATCTGTTCTAGAGACGGCCCAGAGCGGGGCCTTACCCTTGCCCGTTCTGCAGGCAGAATGGCAGCTGGAGGAGGAGAACAGCACCATTTCTAGCCCCTTTCCTCCGACCTAGCTCCTTTCCTCTGGGGCTGAGTGTCCGGGAACTAAGGGAGGCCAGAGGGCAGCTAGGAGAGGAGGAAGGCGCCGGATACTGATGGGGCACCAGGAGATGCCCGGTGGGACCAGACTAGCACGACGATGACAAGCATCACTAAGTGCCGTGGGTTCTGCTAAGTGCTTTACGTGGATTCTCCCCAGGCTTACAAGACTGGCACATGGGAAACATCACTCCCATCTGCAGATGAGGAAACTGAGGCTATGGGAGATGAATCATTTTGCTACCCAAGGTCACACAGCCATTTTGGTGGCTGAGTTGGGGTTTGAACCATGTCTGTGATTCTCTTATCCCAGCACTCTGCTGGGTCCTTCTTTGGCTGGTTTCTCCTAAGAGGGAGCCAATGCAGAAACCCAAAGAAGCAAGCTGCTATCTTTCTGCTACACTGGAGAAGAACAAAGCACCTGTAAAGGCACCCAGAATCAGGCACTTCAAGCCACCCTCCCATCCAGGCCTGGCAGGCCCCAGATACTGGTGCACACAGGCCAGAGCTGACGACCACCATCAAAGTGGCCTAGATGAAGCCCCTCCAGCCCACACAGGAGCACTGGTTCTGAGTCAACACTGGGCTGGGCCGAAGCCTCTCTGATGACAAGAAGATGGAGGAAAAAAGAACCCCCACCTGGAGCTGCGGCCCCTCCACCGTTGTCCCCAGCCCTGGGAGTGGGGGCAGGACCAGCACTCTTGTCACTTACCCAGTCACACAGCTAAGAATGGCTCTGGTGCAAAGCCCTTCAGAAAAGTGACCACACAGCCTCCCTCTGTTTTCCCAGTTTAAATCCTTCCTGCTGTCACCTAATCCCACTGCTTCTCTGCTGCAAAGCTCTCCCTGACTCCCACATGCTCCCAGTCACCTTCCTAGGACATGGCATGATGCCACTCCCCCACCCAAAAACCCTGCCTGCTGACTCGGCTCCTCACAGATGAAACACTCGTGGGTACGGCATTCAAGGCCCCTGAGCTGGCTGAGGCGCACACTCCCGGCCTCACCTCCCCTGCGTCCCCCAGCCCTGCAGCCACACCGGTCCAGGCAGCGGCCCCTCATTCTTAAGGATGCACAAACATTTGTCAAACTGGAACACACATGATCCTGATTACATCGCACCCAATCCAGACTGAGGAAACCACACTAAGAGTTCCGGTGTCGTGGCTACTAAGTGGCAGAGTCCGACTCCAACCCCGAGCTGTGGCTCCAAAGCCCTGCTCCCAACAACAGTGCTGGGAGTCCTCTAACGGATGATCTAGAATCACATACTTTTCTGTCTATCCCCAGAGGAGGTGGGAGGACTGTCCCCATCAGCGTGTATCTCCAAGTCTGTCAGCTTCCCTGGAGGGAGAGCCCTGAGCACACATGCGGCCCGCCTATCCGTGGACAGAGAGGGAGGCCATCCCAGTGGCCCTGAGCCTTCTCGCCACCCCGGTTCCTTCGTGCCCCCAGCTGGTGCCCTCGTCGTCACCACCATTCTTTGCTTCCCCACACACCCCTCTCACACGGGGGGCCTGGAGCTGCACCCAGCCCCAGTGGGGTGAGATCTCTGAGGACCCCGCAGAGCTCAGGGGCCCATGCTACAAGAAGCAGAGACACCCAGAGCCTCATGGAAACCCTTATTTCTCTCTTCAAAGAGGGCCAAACCTGTACATCTAAAACAGCTCTGTTTGCTGTTTCTGTCCCAGCAAACATGCTTGCTTCCTCCTTTCAAAGGGTGTCTGAGCCTGGGGATTAAGCCTAATGCTGCCGGAATCCCAGGGGAGGCAGCGCTAAGCAATCAGGGCCCACCGAGGCCTGCCAGCACTTTCAAAGGGAACACGCCAGGCTTTCATCTCCCTCCTCAGGCGCTGGGGCTGCGGCTGTGGGGGAGGCTTCCCTTCCCCTTCCAGACCTCTCGCCCCAGGGCAGGAGAGCTCCTGGCCACAGGAGTTGGGGGAATGGGGACAAGGGCCCCCAAACCTGGGAAGTGATCCAATCCCTAGACCCATCTCTGACTGGGTCCCAGACTCAAGGTGGGAGGTGGGGTGGGGGCACCAGAGCCTGGACAGTTTCCTCCTCAAGGTCACTGAGTTGTACGGGCCCAGGAGAACTTTCAAAGAACTGAGAGTCCTATTCCAACTTTCCTCCTTATAGGGTGAAAGCTAAATCCGTTACCCCAGGGGAGACCCCGTCCTTCTCGCTTCCTTAAGGGAAACATTCTGCAGACCATCAATGAACCCAGAGACACAGCCTCAGCCCTGGCTCTGCTGCTGCTCAGCCAGGTGGCCTTGGGGCCTGCTCTCCTTGCCCCCAACCCCACCCACCCCCCTTTCCCCAAGTGCACTGAGAGAGGTGGGTCAGCACAGTATCCCTCAACATCCGAGACTAGGGGCACTGGGTCTCTGGAGAGATGAAACCTTTGGGCACTACTGACCCCAGTGTCCCTACAGCAGCTGAGCTATCAGTGTCCCATCCATCCTCTGAGCTGGCTCTGAAGAGCCCCCTGCCAGGAAGCCTTCCTTCCCAGACTAACAGGAAAAAAAGGGTAAGTGCCCAGCCCCCAGTCTAATAAAGAGCTTCCCAGAGCACCCAGCTTTCTGACTGCCCATCTCCTAAAACCTGATCTCACCAACTGCCTTCATGGTCCCTGCTCATTCCTTTGGTTGGGGCTCCATCTTGGGACATAAACCCCCTGAGGGCAGACATGAGGTCTACAAATCTACACAGCGCCACCTGCAGGATTCTTGAGTCCAGAGGAAAGAAGAGACGCCATGTCCATGGGAGAAAAATGGTGCTGCTGAACCCCCAGGAGGGATGACCTAGGAACACCTAAGTTGGGGACACCATACAGAATCACAAGGCGAGGGGATGGGGAGCCAGGCCGAGTACTGGGACTAGGGGACAATCCATGCTAAGAGTGCTACAACGGGGGGACAGACCCCACTCACGGCTGCCTGAAGGTGTTCCTTTAACCACCCTCCGGAGCTGCACCCAGGAGCTGCACCCTGCCCCACCCTCCACATCTGTGCAGAGCTGGCTGGGTCACGGTATCAGAGACTGAACACCTTTTATTACCTTCTAGAACCTTGGGGTAGGAGGTGAGGATGTCATCCCACCTCTCTCTACCAAGGCAGAAATCCCCTCCACAGTGTGGAGTCTGGGCTCGCCGGCTTCCGCTTGAGGGCTGCCTAAGGCACCCCACTGCCCTTGCAGGCACCCACGATACATGGCTGGACAGCACCCCCTCGTAGGCCAATCCTCCTTCCTATTCAGCCAAAATCTGCACCCAGGGGACGTCTTCCCTTGGATTCAGGATCTGCTCTCAGGAACTGGATGACCAAATCTAACCCCTCCACTCTCCCTAAAGCCCCTTCATACAGAGGCAGCTGTGACTTAAGACTCCAAGTGGGGAGCGTCCCAGGTCTCCTGGGGGAGAGGGGCCTGCGCCCAGACCCAGGGATGGCAGGCTGCCCTCCCCTCTGGCACCACATCCAGGATGGCAGGAGACACAACAAGGCCATGCCCGAGAGCCACACATTCCAGAGAAATCGCGGTGCGGATTGGGTAATCACGGGGCTGCATCTCTCAATTACTCCCCCAGCCAGGACTGCAATTACCACATTACCCCTAATCGCCGAGTGTTTATTAGCAACGCTCCTCCCCATCAGAGCTGCTATTACTGCACATTAATAACCGGGTAGGCACACAAGGTTTCCTCTTGAACACAGACCACCCAGCCGCCAGTGCCACCAGCTCCCAGGCCCCAGCTCCAAGGGGCGAGGCTCAGCCTCTCTGTTCCCCCTTTGGCCAAACGCATGTCGGCAGGAGGCTGGGGGCAGACTGGGGATGGTCCAGGCACACACCCAAGAGAAGCAACAGGGCCCATGGGATGGCCAGGCCTCCCTCCTTTCCTGGCCTCGTCTTCCTGCTCGTGCTGGCTCAGACCCACAATGGCTGCACACTGAGGTCTGAGCCCTGGACCCTCTTGGTGGGGGACCCGCCCTTGCCCACCTCCGATCCAGTGCCTGAAATGTTCTAAATTCTGACTGCCTGGTGGCAGTTTAGCCGATGCCTGGTGATTTCTTGTGACTCCAAACGCACTCGCTTACAAGGGAGCCCACCCGACACATTATCAGCGGTGTCATCTGCAAGAAGATTCCTTCTTAGATCTCGTGAAATCTCCCTCTTGTAACTCCCAACTGTGGGTCCTCGTACCCCTGGCTTTACCTGGGCGAAGCAAAGCCCTCTTCTGAAGACGTGCTATCCGAAGGCCGCTGTCACGTATCTCCTTGAGTTTGGCTTGTTTGGTTTTTTTTTTTTAAGCTAAACATCTCCTGGTTGCTTCAACTTACCCTCCCAGGACATGGCTGAGATACTTCACCCCTAGAAGCCCCTTTGTGCATGCGCTGGTTCATTCACTCCTTCCCTCACTCTGGGGATAAACAGTATCTTCCAGCAGCCAGAGCCACCAAGGACAGAGCTAACGCACCGGTCTGTGCTTCCCACAACTTCTCAGAGCGCGTCCCTCAGGGTAGAGAGTGGCAGTGAGACCTGTCCTGCCTTCAGATGCCACTGCTCTGAGGCTGTTGTGGTGGCTGTGTGATCCCATAGAGGGGGAGCTCCGGGCGTGCGGGGTGAGGAGACTCCCTCGGGCGGCGTGCTGGCTCATCACACCCCTGCCCAGGCCGCCTACGCACGCACCACTTCTCACTTTTCTTTTTTTTCCTGCAGCCATCCTCTGCCCCGCACAGGGCTTCCTCTGCAGGGCGCCCTTAACCCCTCAGCATGGGGACAGATACAGGAGGGCAAGAGTGGCTGCTAGCTATGCCGGGCCTGACCTGAGGGGTCTGCAGGCTGCCTGGTGCCAGTGGTCCCCCATCTCCTTTATCTAATGACGTTGAAACTCCTGAGCCTGATATTTGAGGCCAACAATAATCTGGCCTAAACCTACTGGCCAGCTCTATTTGCCACTATTCCTCCTGCCTACCTTACCCTCGGAACGCTCCAAATTCCTCAAGCACACACAGTGATTTCCCACCTCAGCACCGCTACCTACTTTACTCCTCACTGGCTCTCAGAATCCTACTTTCCTCTCGAGGCGCCCAGGTTGTGTTTTGCATCGAGCAGGTGCTCCGCAGAGGACTACAGAATGACTAAAGGACAAACCTGCCACCTCCAAGTCTGCCAACAGCTTGACACCAGTGTCTGAGCAACCGGTGTCACGTGTTGTGTTCACGTGTGACCGGCCCTGGCTGGCCCACTCCCCCTCGGCCTAGAAAGGCAGGGTAACAGGAACATATGGCTCCCCCCGCCGATGCCCTGAGGCTGCCTGATGCCAGACATCGGGAGAAGTGTAGGGCCACCTCCCGCTTCACCTGGAAGTGCAAAGGACAGTCCCCTGCCGAGGAAAACTCTAGAGTCTGGGTGACGTGTGGGACACTGAACAGAAGAGCGAACTGGAGTATGGGGGGTGGGGGACACGGATCCTCAACGAGGCCTCTGTAATGCTATTCTGGTTCTGCCCCGGGGACTCGCATGCCGGGGGCCCAGGACCCCACGTGTGGGCAGAGGTACTGGCAGGGCCCGGGCGCCCAGAACCCCGGTTACCTCGTTCTCCTCCTCATTGTGCAGCTGCTCGGTGTATGCATCCGGCTTTCGAATGAGAGGATCCACCAGCATCAGGAAGGCCATGTAGAGCAAGAGGGCCCCCACCACTGACAGGTAGATGACAATGGTAACCTGAAGGAAACAACCAGCTTGTCCTGTGAGCATCCTGGGCCAGGAGGGCAAATCGTGTCCATTCCCGTGCTGTGCATATTTGATGGCGCAGCTGCCTCAACTTCCGCACTGGGGAAGGGCGAGGACACTGGGGGCTTGGAGGGCAAGAGGGAAGGGAATGTGCCCTATTCCACATGTGTACCAGCTCTGCCCTAAAACTGAGGGGACCCCCCCAAGAATGACGGACATAAAAACAACAGATAATGAAGGAAGACATCTGGATTCTGACACCCCAAGATGCTCCCAGGGGTGGGGATCAGGGAAACAGGGCTACCAGGATATCTCTAAGAAAGGGTGGAAAGCAATTGGACACTAAGAGCAAGGAAGAACCGGCTGGTGAAGAGGCCTGAAGGCAGAGGCCGAGCACCTGGGCACAGGGGCTCACTCCCCCCACCAACGGAATGGACAGGTGCGAAGCTGCGGTCCTGAGAGGGCACGCCAACAGGTGGAGGGGGACAGACCGGCAAGGTGTGCACTGGAGGCTGGAGGCTACATCTCCCCCTCCCGGCGGTCACCCCGGGAGTAATTTCTGTAATTTCTGTTTTACAGAAGATAGATTCAGTGAGGCCAATTCAAGGTTTCCAGTGTGATACTCTGGGCATTTAAGACAGGATTCTCCAAGACACTTAGCAGCTTCAGTCCCTGTAATGGCATTACTAATACACCTCAGTTACTGGGACTACAGAAGCACCTTTGCTTGTGTCCAAATGCCCCCTGGGCGGCTGCCATCACCTGAGAACCGTGAGGCTAAACCGCTCAGCCTAGGTGCCAAGGCTAGCAAGTGGGAGAGATGTAACCTGAACTCAGATTTACTGACTGTCTCAAATGCTTTCCTACTTCCACAATGCCTGGCCATCACTGGCCTCTGAACCCGGCCTTGACCCTAAATGGACTGCGAGGAGGGATAAAAGGAAGAAAGAAACCTTGGGACTTTCAAGTCAAAGCTCAGCTCAAAGGTCAAGTTCAACTGGACCAACTTCCTCCCTGATTGGGGCATCAGCGTTCATGCCTCTTTAAACAGGGCAAATGATCAGACCTCTTGCCTGTACCCCAGGAAGGGGAAGGGGAGTAGAGACTGAGTCTCTAATAGGCTAAAGCTGGGGGGAGGGGGAGGCTCCTTGGGAGGAGGACTGGAGGGAAATTTGAGGGATTAGGAAGTGTGTCTGATGAGGTCCCCATATCGGGAAGTCCCTTTCTGCCAAACAGGGACAGGGGACACTTGGCTCAGAATTCAGTCTCAGCCACTTGGTCCCCAGAGGGTGGGGCCCCAGAGCACGTTCAGAGCAGGAGAAAGATGCTCCAGGAGTGGCTGGTTCATGTGGGAGGATAAAAGGAGTGACGGACGTGGGGGATAGGCAGCTGCTTTCCATGAGAAAGGCGAGAACACAGAGGACTGCAGGGCAGGGAAGGTGCTGCCAGCTCCCTGGTCTGGGAGGACAGCAGTGAGCATCGCCTCCCCTCCTGAGCCTCAAAAGGAGAAACCTGGACGAGGCAGTGTCGTTAAATTCCCAAATTCCTTTCTCGAGGCTATTTCTAGACTCTCCACAGAACCAGGTTCTCCACAGAACCTGGCCAGGAAGGCCTTAAGTTAGAAATCGGTAGACGGGGTCTGGCTCAGGTGTTGGAACACAGACTAGGAGTCCCGGGGGGGCTGTGGGTGGACGAGACCCTGCTAGCGTGAGCCGTGGTCCTGTTGCGTCCGCCTCAGGCAGAGGAAAGAACAAGGCCCCCGTCCTCACTCACTACGGGAGTGGTCGTGTCTACCACTTCTCTCCTGAATTCACCCAATAGCCTAGGAGAACGAGGGTCAGGGCTGAAGCCCCTCCTGCCCAGCTGCCCCATGCAGACACCTCGCCCTTGTCCATAGCTCTTGGGAGCTTTTCAGGACTCTGAGGAGTTCGGTAGACTGGATGTTCCAGGAGGGCGGGCTTATTGCTCTATTAGCGGCATCCTACACGGTGCCCAGAACATAAAAGGCACCTAAAGGAGGCTCCCTGAAGGAATGGGAGAGAGAGGAAGGGAAAGACTGGAAAGAAAAGAGTGACACTGAACACCTCTCCCAGGTTCCCAGCGCCCCCGTGTAATGGGAGCCACTGGACAGAGGTCAGAGGAGAAAGCTGGCTCCAAGAAGGTGTGGGGAGCGGGCCCCTGCATCTGTGACCAGGCCAACCCAGAAGCCGGTCCCACAGCCACTTGGGATGCTCAGCATACAGCCAGAGACAGTGAGTGCCGGGCAGCTGGGGATTGGAGGGGGGCCCCCGAGAGCCGGGCTACCTTGATGGTGGTGGTGCTGCGTTCCTCATACTTGCACTCGCACAGCAGACAGTAGGCCTCCACGTCGTGGCCGGGCACTGGCATGGGCTCCACCACGTGCAGGCAGTTGCTGCAACAGAGACAGACAGGGCGGTGGGAGCAGGGCCACAGGAAGCGGGCAGCCTGGGAGGGGAGGGGCTGGGCAAAGGTGAGGGTGTTCCCAGGGAGTATGGAGTTTATAAAGGGTCAGGCTGGCGCCAGCCCCCTTCCCCAACTCAGAGCCTCACAGCACCTGGCCACTGGCCATCCGAACCAGCTCTCCAAAGTGTGCCTACAGGGCTGGCACGAAAAATGCTAACGTTCCCCAAACTTCTACCCTTAGCTGCCCTCATGTCTCCTGCTATGGTTCCCCTGCTGGGGCTTATCCATTCCAAAGATTTTCAACTCCGAGCTGGTGAGGCCTAGACTGGTATCTTAGACTAGAATCTCTTAGTCAGGACCGCCCCGGGGCCCTCCTACGTCCAGCTGCCCACTGGATTCACCATAGGAGCACCCCACAGGGTCCGCAAACTCTACGTCCACCCCTCCGCCCCTCTGCCCCAACCCCCCAGTCCCGGAGTCTGTGTTACAAACGGCAGAAAGCACCCCTACTGTCCACTCCACTGACCAAGTCAAAACCTGGCAATCACCTTGACACTGCCTCTTCCTCTCACCTATGAATCCACCAAAAGCCAGTGATTTTACCCCCTTAGACATTTCTAAGACCCACCTTCTCTATTGTCTCCCACTACTGTGTCTCAGATGAAATTCTCATCATTCTTGCTTCAGGCAAATGACCCAGCCTCCCCACTGCTCTCCTGCTCTTGTTGGCCCTGTGCCAATACTACCTGCACCTGGCAGCCGAGTGGTGTTACCAAAATGAAACTCTGGTCATGTCACCCCCAGCTTAAAGCCTAAAGCTGGTGCAATGTCTCCACCCAGCCTCTAGGGTGAGAACGAACTGAGCTGTTGCCCCTCAGCCTCCTACTGATCCACCTGATTCCAGGGCCGCCTACCTGTCCAATTCCATTCCCTGCCTCCCCTCAACCTGCTCCCCATCCTCCTCCAGCTATGCTGATCTTCTGGACTCTTCTCTGAATGAGCCATGCTCCCTTCCTTGATACATCTCCCGCCCTCTGCCAGGAATACATGGCTTTGCCACCTTCCCTTTCCATGCTCTGAATCCTACACCTCCTTGAAGATCCAGCTCAAAGACCTGACCTCTCCCTCTGCTCATCTCTATCACAGCACTGACCACACTGTACTGTGATCTCACCTTTATTTGTACGGTCGCCCCCAGGAGATGTTGAGTTCCTTGAGGACAGAGGCCATCCCCAGCACCCTGGCAGAGCTGCACTCAGTGAACAAGTGACTGCCAAATGAATCCCATGTTCTAACAGTATGCCCACATAGCCCACCTTTCCCTAACAGGGCTCCCGCAGAAGGTGAGCCAAAGATCACAGGCCCATTTGAAAAGGTGGTGGGTTCAGGAAGGCAAAGTGGCATCTCCACCACGATGAGGTCAGGACCCAAACCCTGATCGTTGGCTCATCTTTACATCTGACCCTCAGCTTCAGTGGGGCCTGTGCTCAGCTCTTTATCTGGGTCTCTCGATCAGCCCCAGCCCTTCAGATCGGCAGGTTTTCAACAAGTATGGTTCACAGACCACAGTAAGCCAATGACCTAGAGAATGCGCCTTTATCACTACCACCAGGAAAGGTCAAACACACCCTCAGAGGTTCACGGAAGCGAGCCAGGCATCACACTGCCATGGACCACCAGGTCTGGGCTGTCCTGGCTGTGCCGCTAAGTGTCTGGGGCCCTGGGCCTATTTTCTCCTCTCTGAGATGCAGGGGTTGTACCAGATGACCTTTAAGGCCCTTCCTGGTCTAACAGGAAGCCTGCAAGAGTCACGCATAGCTCTCTGAAAACAACCAGGCCTGTTCTGAGCTATCCAGGGTCCTTTTAGACTCAGGCTGGGTTTTTGGCAGAGGCATCAAAGACGTGTGACGTGAAGATCAAGTGTTGACATAAAAATGAGATGTCCTCTAAAATCCTCTGATCCCCTTAAAAATCTGGCCCGCAGCATATGTGAGTTCATCTAAACCTCTGACGATTCCAGTTTCACCACTGGGTAGCAACTTCACCACATCACTCCTAGCTGCACGAAGGGGTCCTCTTCTACCGTAACTAAATGCATCATTTCCAGACCCTGCACACTGCCAGTTCTGGGGGCTGATGGACAAGGCCAGGTTCACGCACAACACTTGGTCATCAAGTGTTCACTTGGGACCTTCTCTTTTCCAGGAAGTCCCCACAAGCCTCCTGAGGACCAGATGCCTCCTTTCCGAGCCACACGGGGTCGTGGTTTAGAAGGTCACGCCAGTGTTGCAGGAAGATGTGTGGACTACCCCCAAGGCCAAGGTGGAGTGTCAGGGGGAGCTGGGAGGGGCCAACCCAGGTTCTTCAAATTGGAATGCTATTACAGGAACAGGCTGTTTCTAGAAGGGTTAGGGCAACAGTAAACGAAAAGCTGTAATTTTTCTGCTGGCTCTGGCGCTCCTGAAAGTCAGTGAAACCCTAAACATGATCCTGCTCTCTAAAGCTTTCCTTTACCTTTTTGGGATCAGTGCTATCAAAAGACTCCAAGGATTGGCCAGAGGACATTAAGGGGAGAGGTCTACAAAGATAAGCTGGGTTTAATTCTCTGCTCTTCTATGTGTTCTGTGATGGCAGGTAATTTATTTACCCTTTCTGGGTCTCGGTTTCCTCATTTATAAGTGGAGGCTGAACTCCATCGGTGTCTTTCAAGCTGTGCTCTCTTAGAACCACTCAAGAACCACTGTGCAAGGAGGTGGGCTGAGGGAGGGGCTGAGGGACGGGTCCCTCTCGGCACCGGTTCTGATTTTGTTTTGTACGTTGTTTCCAAAACAGATTCTGTCGATAGAAAGGTTCAGTTTGTATAAGTCTGAAAGACACTGAACTAGCCAACCTGTTTGGTTCCTTCCTACTCTGGGATGGCCTCTAATACATTATCTCCTCGGCAGGCCCACCAACAGGGCAACATTGTTAGGGTTTCTGCCCTTCTACAGGCATGTGGTTATGAACTACCAGCACTAGATGGCAGGATACCAGCACCGCAGGAACATAAATGCCATTAAATGTGAGGACTGCGGCTCAGGCAGTTCTGGCCTCACTCTGCACCACAAAGGAGGGTGCAAGTATTGCCCCAGCTGTGGACCAATGTGACAGCACAGTGACAAGGTGGCAGAGACTTGAAGACACAACTGGACTCCTCTGGTCCTAGCACGGAGACCCTCAGACCACATGTCAAGCCCCATCCCATTACTAAGGGAGTGTCACCAGTGTTGCTGGGTCCTAGAATCTGTCCAGCCTCGGTTTCTACCTACCACCCTAATGGAACTGTCTCAAAGTTCTCCATTAAGATTGTTCATTAGGCAATCCCCTAATTCTGATTTCTAAGGAGAAGATAATAAACTACAGCCTGAGAGGTCCAGACAAGACTCGTTTCTCTGTGGGCATCCACACTTGGGTTTTCAGACCATAGTATAACCCCAGGGCGGAGACATTGCTAATAAAATCTGCTGTTGCCTGTGCGATGTAGTCTTATTACCTGCTGTGGGGCTCTGACAGTCTATCAGATCATTTCCTGATGTTATTTGAGCTATAACCCCAACATACAAGGAGGTCACAGGGGCTCCTCCCAGGACTTCATGTCTCAGGGCTTTGTGACTCCATCAGGACAGGCAAAACCAGAGGGAAACAGTCTACCTATGTTGTGGGAGGAGCTCAAGTTTTCTGGGGCTTGGTGTAAGTCTGACGATTATCTATGTGGCCTCTAATAACGCATGATAATATATATTAATATTAGCTAACATTTACACAGCACTTACTATGTACCAGGCATTGTCTAAGTGCTTTACTTACACAGGTACGTACAAGCACATATACCACACACACACGCCCACACACACGCCCACACACACACACACACACACACACACACACACATTTAATACTCAAAATACTGCCGCCCATCTTACAGATGAGGAAACTGAAGTACATTGGAGAGGAAGTAACTTGTCACAGAATGAGCAAATGGCAGACCTAGAGTGAGGGCAAGGCAAGCCAGATCCCCAGCCTGTGCATCTAACTAGACAGCCTCTCGGAAAATCACTCAGACTATCTCAGAACTGGGTAAATTCAAAATTCCCAAGTGCTTCTCCAAACAAACTGCCTCAAGATCACCTACAGAACTTTAAGAAAATGTTACCCCTGACTTCCTGTTCCCAATACTTACGGAATCGAAATCTTAGGGGGGAGGAGATCTAATGTAGGGCATGGTGACTATCGTTAACGATACTGTCTTATACACTTGAAAACTGTGGAGAGAGTAGATCTTAAATGTCCTGACCACAGACACAAAAGGTAATTACGTGAGGAGACGGAGGTGTTAATTTACCTTATTGTGGCAATCATTTCATAATATGTATATCAAACCATCAGGATATACACCTTAAACTTACACAAAGTTCTACGTCTAACGTATCTCAGTAAAGCTGGGGAGAAAAAAAAAACAACAGAATCCAAAATCTTGGGGGGCAGAAGGTGCTGGCAATCTGCATTTTCTCAAAGCCCACCTGATGATATTACCGTACAACCAAGCAGGCGCACTGACCTGGACATCCCCTCCCCATGAAGTGAATCCCTTCTAACAGTGCCCTTAGCAAAGAATCACCCCATCTGTGCTCAGATCCCTCCAAGGATGGGGCTTCCCAGCTCCTAAAACAGTCTGGATTAGAAATGTTTCCTCAGCTCACACTTAAATCTGTTTCCCTGAAGCTTTCCTTAAAGTTGTTTCTACTGGCTCCAATTCTACACCAAAAAACCACATGGAACATAACGGATTCCCATTCCCAGGCGCCCCACCTCCCATAGCATGCCAGCCCTGCTCCTGGTCTTTGTCAGTCACCAGATGTCCCCAAACCCTCCCCTCGTTGAGCCTCCCTTAAATCACTCCTTCTAGGACAATGTGTTGAAACTTCCTTTAATCAAGCTGGTCTCCTCTCTCTGAATTTGTGCTTCTTCATCTCTTTTTTAACGTGAAGCAGCTAGAAATGAATTCAGGACTCCAGGAGTATAATTTAAAATTCCCCTTTGGATTTTAGACTCTGCAGTCATAAAAAGGGAACACTAGCTATCTCGCCTACCTCACAAGGTGTTAATGACACTGGTACAGAATAACACACGTAACAGAGCTTTGCAAAAGTACACAAAAGATCCCACAGTATGCAGGCATACTAACAACCTCTCCCAATTTCTCTGCCACCATTTTGCATATATGAATAAACACCCAAACCAAAGCAAAATAACAACATCCACTTCTCTGACCAGGAACCCCTCAGCTAGAATTCAAGGCACCTAGGCCCTGTTCCCAATTGGCTGTGTGACCATGGACAAAACAGTGCTTTGTACACTGTCCATAGGAATGAGAGAGCAAGCTTATCCTCCAGGGGTCCAAGAATCCCAGGAAACACTTGTAACTTCAACTAGTTGAAGCAGCCATGAGCCAGCCTGTACAGTGCCTTACCAGTCCTTCTGTGACACATTCTGGTTGTAAATGTGCCCACTGATGTTTCTATATGGTGGACAGATGCATTTGCAACGGATATCTTCAGAGCTCTGGAAGAAAAAGCGTATCAGGTAGACAGGGCCCATGGGTTCAGGTTCTAGCAAAGACTTTCAGCTTTCATTTCCCTGTTCTATATATGAATGCTCTTGACCTTTCCCATCCCCAAGTTCAGCAAGGAATGGCTTCTGCAGGAAGGATGCTAGTATCACAGGACCCTCAAGACGTCAACTGTCCAGGTGGCAAATGAGACCCCCAGAGAGCTGCCTAGGGCTGTCATTCCCTAGTAGGGTGCTTTGGAGTAGGGATGTTTGTGGCAAGCAAAGTGACAGTCCTCTACTCTGGGCCCCACATCTGCTGTGTGCACCTCTGTCCAGCAATCTTGATGGTGACACCCTTTCTCTCCACCCCTCCATCATCCCATCTCCAACTTCCCAGGTAGGATGAGGGCAGAAGTAAACAAGAGAAAGAGGGTCATTTCTGTGGGAATACCCAAGCAACCCCTTAGAAAGTTCTTCCTCTCTGAAATGGATAAGAAACAACACCACAAACATTTTCATTCCAATCAGGAATTCCCCAGGGAGACTGCAAGCAAACCCTCCGACTCCACCTTACTTAAAGCCTTGGGGATCTTCAAATTTTCAAATACCACAGAGCTGCCCAGCTCCGGGTAATATGCCCCTAAAAAAAAATAGCAATTTCTCCAGAGTCCCAGTGCTTAGGGTGGGTTAGGCTGGTCACCCTTGGCAACAGAAACTCCCAACTATGTAGGACTTCACACTTAAAGAGCATTTCTACTCACTGTATCACTTGATTCTCCTTCAGCAGAGTAGTGGATATTATAACCATAGTTATTTTAACCCGGGAGCAAAGGAAGGTATGGGGAACTTAGATAATTCCTTCAAACACAAACTCCCTTGCTGGAATCCTACCTCGGTTTCCATCTGGTCCAGAACCTATGTTCTGTGCACCACCCCACTCCTTCTCACTCCACCCTTCCCGACGCCTGCAGTTCTGCGCCTGCGAGTCCCAAAAGTATGGCCCATAAACGAGTGAGAGGGGCAGAGCTGAACAGCAGCTACCCCTGGGGAAGCCCTGTCCGCAGGAAGGGTGGTCGTGCAAGAGGTGCTGCTGTCTCACCTCCCTCACCTTGTTGGCTTGAGCTGGGGGCACCAGCAAGCACCCGACCACGGCCACCAAACATAGGAGCTTCATGCTTGGCAGGCTGGGGGTGCCAACCAGACCGGACACCTGCATAAGAGATATGAAGTCGGGCAAGGAAAGGTGACCACACCACTGTCGGCATTCTCGGCCCCTTGGCCGTCTAGCCGGGACGTGGGAATGGGGTTGGGGGCTGGGCTCGGCATCCCAGGGCCTCCTAAAACCCTGTAGCCAAATGCTGCCTTCCCTCTCCCCCAAGTCTCCGGCTCTCGACTGCCCACCCGGAGCGCCCAGAAGAGAGGCCTCTAGGGGACACGGCCGCAGGGGGCCTCGAGTCCCGAGGAGCAGGCCTCGAGTCCCGAGGAGCAGGCCACGCTCCGTGCTCTGACCCTCGCATTCCGTTCCACCGCCCTCCGCCATCTCTGCCTCCGCCCGCCCGACAGCTCCTCCCCGCTCAAGGCCCGACGAAAACTTTGGGTGCAGAGGCTGGAAGACCTGATCCGACCGCCAAGGCCAGTGCCCACCTAACCTAGGGGTCTTGGGCAGTCCCCGAATCCCCAGGTGCCCCCACGACCCCTGTCCCCTCCCCCAACGCGCCGTCCGCTAACCTGCGAGCCCCGCCGCTGCTGCAGAGGACCCAGCCGGTCCCGCCCCCTCCCGGCCGCTATTGGCTGCCGGAGCAGTCTCTCAGCCCAACCTCGCTATCGCCAAGGTAACAAGACCCACCTTCGCCTGGGCTTAGAGGCTCCGGCGCAAGGGAGAGGAAGGCATTTCTCAAACCCGACCAAACAAGAAAAGGGAGCGTCAGTCAGTCTTCCAGGCCGAAACGTGGAAGGGTCTTGCCTTTGTGGGGCCTGTAAAACTACCACTGTAGTGCTTGGCCCCTCCTTGTATTATAAAAGGCGGAGGATCTGAGAGGGACTAAGCTTGTTTCACCTTGTTGTTTTGAAGAGAAAGCACTTTATACACAATAAGCTAGTAACAACAATAACCTTAAAAAATCCAATAAAGGGCTTTGTCCTCGCTCACAATCTGGAAATGTTTAGGGATCCATGTCTTTGCTGCATAAGACTTTGCCAGACCCCAGCTCTACTCTTCCCTCCACCCTCCTCCCTGAGGAGGAGGAAACCAGGGGTGGCAATGAAGTGGAGGACTGGGCCTGTGAGGCGTGTGCCCGGCCACCGGTTACCTGGTCTCACTGCCCCGAGTACTGGTTCTGGACCTGGCAGACTGGGGCAAGATGTGCAAGGCCAGCATGGGGAGTGGGGAGTGGAGGGTTGGGGAAGAGAGAGGGAAGTCTGGGCTGCTGGGGGGCAGAAGTGAACTTCTTGCCAGCTGTGAAGGAAAGAGAAGCCATCTGAGCCTGGGGTACCAGACCCAGAGTGAGGACACCGAGACTCTGGCCCTGGCTTTGCCACTAAGCATCTATGTTACCCTGGGAAAAACCACCTCCCCTCTCCCAGCCTCAGTGTCTTTATCTGTAAACTTATTTGGTTGGATACTAAGGTCCCTTTCAGCTTTGAAATTTTGGGGATTTCAGGGAGTGGCTTGATGTGGCCCGCTCTTGATGTTGGTGGCTGGAATCAGCATAGGGGCTGGGTGTGGGCACAATTAAGGCCCTCACAGGCACACTAGACGCCTTGTGTGGAGGTAGTTGGGTTTATGTTTCTTTACCGGACTCATGTCTTATGCCTTTTTAAGTCCTCACCACCTTGTAGACTATCCTACCCTTGGTGGGTGCTCAGGAAATGTTTGCTAAACTGAACTGGGTAGTATTCAATTAAACCTCATTGGACAGCAGGCAGAAGGCACAATGGTGTGACACAAAATCATAGCTCAGGGACTAGGGAAGGAATCCTGGTTCCTCCTGTCCTAGATGTGAGGGTTTGGGTGGTTGGCTTACCCTTTAGGAGAGCTTTGGTTTCCACATCCATAAAATGGGGCTAATATTACCTACTTTTCAGGGTTATTGTGAGAGTATAATGGATCCTTATGTGCAAAGCACCAGGGGCAGGCTAGCACAAAGCAGGGGAGGGATCTATAAATGGAGATGTTAGCTCATTCTGGGGGTCAGAATGGCTGCTTGGGTGAGTAAGCTGGGGCAGAGAAAGCATGCCTGCCACATGGGGGCAGGAGGGACAGTTCAGGCACGGGAAAAATACCCTCCTTCTCCCAATTCATCTCTTATATGGAGGTGGGGAACTTCACAGGGACAAAAGCAATTGGGCTGAGTCCCAGTCACCTCCAAGGCATGCCCCTCTGACACCCAACACTAAAGGCGCCCAATGCTGAATTCACCATCTTGTTCATCTGATGGAAGCCAGGCCTCCATCCTGCTGCTTTTCTCAGGCCCCAGACTGTGGTGTCAAATTATCCTTGTCTCGGGGCGCCTGGGTGGCTCAGTCAGTGAAGGGGCCGACTTCGGCTCTGGTCATGATCTCGCGGTCCCTGAGTTCGAGCCCTGCGTCGGGCTCTGTGCTGACAGCTCGGGGCCTGGAGCCTGTTTCAGATTCTGTGTCTCCCTCTCTCTGACCCTCCCCCGTTCATGCTCTGTCTCTCTCTGTCCCAAAAATAAATAAACGTTAAAAAAAAATTATCCTTGTCTCTGCTATCTCCTGTCTCCATCTAGTCTATCTAGGTGTCTCTGTGGAGGGGCTATCATCCCCCTGTCTGCAAACCCTGCAGCCAGCACTCTGCTTCCTGAAATACACTCCTTTCTTCTGTCCTCCGACTCTGCTTTCAGTACATCGCTCATTGCTCAGTAATCCCTGGTAGGATCCTGTCACATCAAGTTCAGACAGTTCCACCTGGCATCCAAGCCCTGGCCACCATTTCTGCCCTTACCCACCATATCTCATCTCTGGTTACAACCCACCAGTTATCTCCTATATTTGACTTTGTTCACACCAGTCCTTCCATAGGATGTTCTCAGCCCCTCAGCCCTGCCAATCCTTATCCTGCGTCTCTTTCAAACCTCTACCCCAAGCACTTCTCTTCCAGGAACTCTTCCCCGGTCGCCCTAGCTGACCCAGGGCCCCTCATTCCCACACATCCTCCATGTGCCCTGAGTTTAAGTGCCAGGCCATTGAGATGAGTCTGAACTTATTTATTCAATTCAATCCCACAAACATTGACTAAGCACTGTCAAGACATCCCAGCAGGTACCACAGACAAGCCACATGGGAACCCTGCTTTCAAGAAGTGTGTAGTCTTGTACGGGAGTAATCATATGGCCGGGAAGTAACTTAAAATAGAAAGTGATCTGGGGCATCTGGGTGGCTCAGTTAGTTAAGCGTCTGACTTGGCTCAGGTCATGATCTCGTGGTTTGTGAGTTCAAGCCCCACATCGGGCTCTGTGCTGACAGCTCAGAGCCTGGAGCCTGCTTCTGATTCTGTGTCTCCCTCTCTCTCTTCCCCTCCCCCACTCATGCTCTGTCTCTATGTGTGTGTATGTCTCTCTCTGTCTCTGTCTCTCTCAAAAATTAACATAAAAAATTTTTTAAAAAATCAAGTGATATGTCATAGAAGAGTTTTCTCCCTGAAAATATTTTTGAGCACTATGTTCCAGGCAGCATGCTAGTTGCTGGGGATATATCAGTAAACAAGACCTACCCTGTCCCTGCTCTCGTGGACCTTGAAGTTTATTGCAGGAAAATGACAGATCAACAAGTAATCACAATTTTGGGTGGTAAGAGCTATGGTGGGGAAGACCTACAGAGGCCGGTGAGAAACCGAGACCAAAGGCCAGAGGAGCCCAGAATGGTAGAGAGGAGGCTTTGAAGGTAGTGGGGGGCTACTTGAGCTGGGCCAGTGTGATAGGCAGAAGAGTAGCCCCCCACATCATAATCCCTGGAATCTGTGATTATGTGACCTTCCATGGCAAGAGGGATTTTGCAGCTGTAGTTAAATGAAGGTCATTGGGATGGGGAGAGTAGCCTGGATTATCGAGACAAGCCAAATCTAATCAGGTGAGTCCTTAAAAAAGGGAAACCTTTTCTGGCTGCGATCAGAGAAAGAGATGTGACAATGGAAGCAGGGTGAGAGAGATTGAAGATGGAAGGGGCCACGAGCCAAGGAATGAGGGTATAACCTCTCGAAGCTGAGAAGGGCGAGGATCAGGTTCTCCCCTAGAGTCCCCAGAAGGAACACAGCCCTGCTGACACCTTCATTTTAATTCAGTGACACCTGTGTCAGACTTCTGACCTACAGAACTGTAAGATAATAAATTTTGTGATGTTTTAAGCCACTAAATTCATGGTAATTCATTACAGCAGCAATAGAAACCTAATATAGCCAGCAGGGTGGGCAAAATTTGGAACAGAATTCAGGAACAGGGTGATTATGGGGAAGGACATCCACATAGAGGGGGTGTAAGACGAGCAAAGAGATGGCCCTGGGAACATGCACATAGGGCAAGAGCAAACGATTCGGTTTGGCTCAAACCCAGGGCAGGTGAATGGGAAGGGAGGGCAGAGGGTAAGCCAAGGCCAGAACTTCATGACAGCAGAGAGTTGATGTGAGCCAGCGAATGAGCCCGGGCCCCTGGCTCGGGGTTCAAGGGCAGGGTTAGGACCAGGCAACTTCGGGAATGTGCTGCCTCCAGCAGAGGAGGCTGAACGAAGCTGTGAGCTTCCTGCTGCTTCCTCGTGGGACTACTGGTCTTCATCCTGCACCTTGCTCCCTACTCCCAGATTTGAAGCTCTGGGACTTAGACCACAGGTCCCTCTCAGGGACCTGCTTTTACCCCAACAACCCTAATATCTGTTGGCCTGAAAAGACCAGGTCTTGGCATCTGTGCCAGAGCTGAAAGTCTGGGTTCCTCCTCACTCCTTGTCCCCACTCTTGGTTCTCCTGGAGAGGGACTGGACTGCTGTCATCACCTCCAAATGGTGCCTACTCTCCCCGGCATCAGCTATATGTCCCCGCTCTTCCTCTACTCCCAGCAAAGCTTATCTATCTGTCCAGTGCCTTGGCCCCTCAAGCTCCTATAAGATGATTAACTTCCTAATCTGTACAACAGCACCCATGCTTTAGCCCCACCAGGGAATAGCTACACTAAAGCATCATCCAACCTAAACAGAGAATAAAGTGTCATCCAAGTCAAACAGAGAAGGAAGTTCAAGGGCTAGAAATCGGATGCCTGTAACAGGCTCTAAGGGGGCAGTAGTTTGGAGTACAGAGAAGCCCTTGATCCACCTCTAATAGGAAGTCATCACTCCACCCGTAGATGGCAGGTCAGGGGCCCAGGGACGTCCTTGAGACAGAGTGAACACCATCGTCAGATGCCCTGAGGGTGTCTGCTCTCTCTGACCACAGCAGGATTTCTCAGGCATCAGGGGGCACAGAGCTGAGAGCATACTCCCTGGGCTTGACATCCGCCTGAATATGTGTACTCTTTTTTTGCCTGGGCCCCCAAAGTTGCCTTTTCACACACACGCTGCACTCCCCAAAACCAGCTAAGACAGCACTTAGTCAAAGAACAATTATATTTAACTGAGAAGAACTCTGAATGGAAGCATTAGTCTATGTAAAGTGTATTACATGACATAAACTGCACCCAGTCTAATATACGTAGACATATACATACACAAACATACACACACACACACACACACACACACACATATACATACATATGTAGTCCACACACACACACACGCACACACACACAC